GAAGGTTGTTAATTCTTTGTCAACCTCATTATAAAGTATGGTCGCATTATGAAAAATCCCGTATCAAGCATCGTTTACTTCATTCTATTAAAAGATGAAAACCAAGTTCTAACTACACATGCCAACAAATGTCTTACAGAATGTTCAAATCGAGTTTCACTCATCTGTGAACTTCAGTAAGACCTCAAATTATAATGATGTCGGGCAACGTAATAGCATGATACAGCGACGATGCAAGCAGCAAGCGTATATCCTCTGTTTGTCTCCGGGTTGTATCACTGCACTTAGCCGAATGCGCTTTAGCACGAAAATTGAGTATGCGAGGCGGAAGTATTCGCAACGTCGAATAGCTCGGACCGTTTCAACCAGTCTCCCCGGATCAGTTCGATATAACGAAACGGATCGAAACGCGCGGTACTCTTTATCATATAATGTGTCTCGCGGCAATTTTTGTCTTCTCTCATTCATGTACCTATTCGTATACCATGGCACTTAAACACATGTACTTATACCTATTACGTGTAGGCTATTACAAGTACTTATTCGAATAACATGACTTACTAACATGTACTTAATACTTAATTACGTGTATAGCCTATATACAAAGTACTTATTACGTAACCATGTACTTACTACAGTCTACTTAATAGCTTATTACGTGTAGCTATTACAAGTACTTATTCACTATACCATGTAAACTTTACTACATCTACTTATTACTTATTAAAGTGTAGCTATTACAAGTACTTATTGTACGTATGGACAGTACGCATGCGGAAGTATTTGTTGTTTGTCTTATACGAGGCTGCTGGTCATACGTTTGTCGTCCCGCAATAGGCTTGCGTGACCGCGGCCGTGCGGCGACAATGCAGAGTGAGCTACATCATAATACATTAACATTACTCTTCTTCTTTCGTCTCTTCTACCATTGTCCCTCTCGATCTTTCGCTCTCTGTGTCTAGTCGCGTTTCGTCTCCCTCGCCAGTCTGTCTCTCTCTCTCTGCTCTCTCCTGCTCTCTCTCTCTCGTGCAGTCTCTCTCTCTCTCTCAATCGTCGTCTCTCTGCTCTCATCTCTTCCACTCTCTTTCTCTCTCTCATCATCTGCTCTCTCATTCCTCTCTCTCTCACTCGCTCAAGACGTCTCTCTCTCTCTCTCTCTCTCTCTCATCTCTCTACACACCCTCTCTCTCGATGTGTGGTGTGTGTTGTGTGTGTGTATTGTTGTGTGTGTGGGGGGGTGGTGTGTGTGCGTGCGTGCCGTGCGTGTGTGCGTGAAAGTGCGTGCGTGCGTGCGTCCGCGTGCGCGTGCGTCAGCGCGCGCCCACTTATGTGTGCGTATGCAAATCAGCGCCCGCGTGTGTATGTAAAGACAGAGGCGGATGCTTGATCAGTATTATCATATACTTGCACACTGCTCCATATAAACACCCGCATAACTTACACTAGCCAATCACGAATAGCTTTGCTAGCAGTTTCTGCGCATGTTCTACTTTCTCTATCTGTTCTAGTCTTTCCCTTCCTCTAGTTCCTTACTTACTCTACCTTATACCCTCATCTACTTCCACTACCCCATCCAGTTTCCCCCTCATCTACCTTATACCCTCATCTACTTCTTTGACTTCATCCACTTTCTCGCTTCTGTACGTTACCTTCTTCCTTGTTCTACCTGATCCACCGCCTCCCCCGTATCTACCACCTATGCTGCCACCTAGTTGGGTTTATGTCTGATAGAGGGCAGCACCGCTGTGTTCGTAAAACAAAGTTGGGAACAAAGTTGTTTGTAAACTTGTTGTGTGAGATTCGTTGTTGGAGCAGAGAATTATCGTAAAATGCTCTGCTGTAATCACACGTAACGCGTAGGTCTACATATTGGCGTGCGCACGTGCACGTACACTTAAGGACATATAACTAATAACACACGACAAAAAACACAATAAACATCAACATGAAATCATCAACACACATACAGCCCCTACATTTATTATACCGTTACAGTTATATATCTTTATATACATGTATATATATATATATAGAGAGAGAGAGAGAGAGAGAGAGAGAGAGAGACACTGCGAGAATGAAAGAAAGAAAGAAAGAGAGAGAGAGAGAAAGAGAGAAAGATAGAGCGAGATCAAAGGCCTCCTAACTGGGCGGATTTGACTGACCTAGCATCGACATTCAACGATAAAGAAGGTGTGTATTGATTATCCCGCTCAGACGGTCAGGTTAGTTTTAATAAGCACGTGGCAGGCGGCGGGTGCTCCCTGTACGTTTCAACGATAAAATGATGGTAAATAAACACGAAATGTATTTAATACCAAAGTCTTATTGTTTCGCCTATTATTGCCGATCATTTCCTGCAAATGCCGTTCAAATGCTCATCTGCAACACACAATACTACAAGTACACCGCACGCACGTCGCTGTGCACAAACAACAAGAATACAAAGAACAGTAATTCTATTACCTCCGCGCAAACGGAGGTCATGCAATCGCTCGCGTGTGTGTGTGTTCGTCTGTGTGTGTAGCCACTAGTGTTCGCGCGATCGATTCAGCAGCAGCTCGCCTTAGGGTGTCGAGCCAGCAGCAGCTCGCCTTAGGGCGTCCAGTCAGCAGCAGCCAGCAGCGAGCCAGCTGTTATACACATACATGTTACACGCTCGCGGAGGTATGCACTCTCCGTGAGTGCCCTCTGTCTAGTTCTTGTTGTCGCTACTCGAAATCTCCTCGTTAGTCGAGTAGTTATGACCCGATACGTGCGCGTTTCACGTACCCGGGTTCGATCCACGTCAAACGCGGCCGATCGACGTGCGCGTCTCTATTTAGCACTCAACAAATGAGCATCAATACAGAACAGTGACCACCTCGGCTGTGCCACAGAAATACGCGTTTATCGGGCCCCAATATAGTAGGCATTTGACGAGTGCTTTCGTTTTCCATAAACACGCCGTTATGTGGGCACCGGGTGCAATTAAGGTGTCAGCGGTCTGAACCAGTAAAAACATTATACCTGAGAGCACCGATATTACCTACACGTAAGCCTATAGCGAAGGTGTCAGCACCCATACTATCAAGGTCTCGCTTAGTCAGCACCCGTATTGTCTGCCAGCTATTATATATAGATCGTCTATAGACAATACAGCTACACCCGCATCGTCTCACACCACGTGTATATAGATAGATAGATGTAATACAACACGTAAACGAATAATGTATATCGACTGTGCGCGCTGGTTTATTCTTTTACACTGCGTTTATGGTGAAGCGGGTAATGCAGTGTCTGACCGAATCCTACGCGTATATATATATATATATATAGGTATATATGTAAGATACACTTGTCACAGGAGACGTGTGGCTACGAGCTAACACCGGAAGCTGTGGGTCAGTGAGCGCATCCTACTCATCCTAGGTGGAAGTAGATCATTCTCTCTCGTTTAGCATGTCAACGACGTTTAAACCACGAGCGTAAATTATGGCCGAGCGTTACAAGACGACCGTCTGCTACCTGGTAACGCTCACGCTCTGCTTCTGCAGCCGTAGTTACAACGTGCTTGCCGACGTCCGCGACAATGTGGAGCATAACCAGATAATCAAAGACTCGGTGAGTACAGCTGAAGGGGTCGTTGTCGTAACAGGTACTACAGATATGTACCCGAGGTACATATATGTATACACAAAGTGTACCTGACTTGTACTACAGAAGTGTACCCTAACCCTAACACTAACCCTAACCCTAACCCTAACCCTAACCCTAACCCTAACTCTAACCCTAACCCTAACCCTAAACATACCTCATATAAAAATATAAACATAATACTAAACAACCTAAAACTACCTCGGGTACATATCTGTAGTACCTGTTACGACAACGACCCTTCGTGCGTGAGTACACACCGAGACACAGATATATACACCAAGTGCAGTCAGCGGCGTCGCATGCTTAAAGATGGCGTGCACAAACGATGCCTCGGTTATAATCGGTCAACTTCTTTGCAGAAGCATATTACTTTCTGTTGAGATTGCATTACACGGCTCTGCGTATCTGCGCTGTTTAATGAGTCGACATAAGAAGGAGGTTAATTTATTAGATATGATGATAGGTTAATTTATTAGATAGGGTAATATGTGGATATTTTTAAGTTGCCGCGAGTTAACGTTTGATTAAAATTTACATATTTTAATGTAAATTTCAGTGTATTTTACTGGAAAACATTTGAGCAAAAGACTTATAAAGAACAACTGGTCTACAGAACGCCACATGTCGTACCACGTTTCAAATCATTTTGGAATCTCGAAGATCATTCAAAATCTGCACTGCTTCGTAACGTCTGCACGTTCATCCCACGCGTACACACACGCACACACGCACGCACATACACACTCGCGCGTACGCACGCACGCGCATGCACGCACACGCGTAAACGCATGCGGCACACGTACATGCACGCGCGCATGCAGATACACACACACGCGCGCGCACACACGCACCCGCACGGGCGGACGCACACACACCCACACGTGAGGACGTGGCAGACAAACATACCGACGCCTGAATATGTGATAATTTGACGCACATATCGATTCCTCTTCTCTCCTGTCGCACTGACGTGTGCCGTAGTCACCGCCTAACGACCTACATACACCCACTACCCTCTCTTTTCCGCATCCGCCTCTGAGCAAGATCCGCTAAGACGTTCGAGTGCTCCTACCACAGTGGAATTCCACGACGGCTCCTATAACGGTGGTCTGACGATAGCGACGGAAAACGGATGCAAGAAGATAGCGGAAATAACCTGAGGAGCTAATCTCGAAATGTTGGAAATAGACCCCACAACTACGACTCGTAATACATCTCATTTCCGCCATTTCATCGTTGGTATTCATGAATCTACAGAGGCGACCGCATTATGACTACTCTCGTTTTTCATCGATAATAAACTAGTAGGTCTCAGGGGAGAGATAGTGAATATAGAAATAAGTTTTGGATATAGAAATCAGTTAACCCTAACCCTAACCCTAACCCTAACCCTAATCCTAACCCTAACCCTAACCCTAACTCTAACCCTATCCCTAATTCTAAAATAAAACAAAATTAGCAAAAAATAATAAAAAATAACATCAATAAGAGACAAAATTAGCCAATCAGAGCCGTCCCCTAGCGGATCACTATCTCTCCCCTGTGCAAAATTCATAATTAACATGTTTTGCTCGCGTATATAGGAAGGTGTGAGAAGAATAGCGGCTGTGCAGTATGGCCTGACGCATGCGCTGATGACAGGATATCGAAATGCTGCCGCGAAGCCACAGGACACATTACTAATGGCAGCGGCCGCACGCAAAGGTAACACCGTCGCGCGCATTACGTTAAATTATAAATGAGAACGAAGTGGCTGGATGTACGGCAGCCGTCGTTCGTTGAAGCCCCTTTTTGGGGTTTGTTTGAATGCTGAGGCAATTATTTGCGATCTTCTGATGTAAAGTTTACAATAATGTTCATTTTCATACCTAATCCGAGTGTTTTCTAGCTCATCAAAGCTCTCAAATCGTGAATTTATTTCTCAATGCATTATTTCGAAATCTACCGCCATCTTTGTCTCGTTTGTATGAAAGCGAATGGACTGCCGTACCTCCAGCCTCGTAAATTACGGATACGGCTGTCGTACCTCCAGCCACTGCCTAATTAGAATGCCTCGTAAGCACACACTTCGACGTGCTGCTAGTGAAACCCTAAAAATAACAGTCATTACGGGCTGGAAGCGGGCGTGGTAGGCTTTCGCTGATGATTGATTACCAGTTTTCGATTTCACTGAGATCGCGTGCGTGATGCCCCCCACTGCGCATGCGTGCAGCGCGCGAGAGTGCAGGAACTGACGGTTTACCTACATTAACACATAGAAACATGTCAACAACTTGGCTGGGTCATCCATCTTATATACCGAAGCAGGCATGCAATACCAACCTTACATACTGCAGACACGGAATGTCACGTTTGGCGAAAAGTGTGTTTAGTTAACAGTAAAAAGTCATGTTAGGTAAATTCAGTCGGTATGTCACTATTAGATGTTTAAAGATCGCGAATGTATGCAGTTGCATCCACTATTATTAGTACTTACTTAATATATACTACTTATACTTATTACAATACTTTACTACTACTTACTTACTACTACATTACTTTACTACTTACAATATATTACTTATTTCCTTAGTCATTACTCTATAGTTCTATATTTGTTCTAGTCTATATAGTCATTTATGAATTGATATGAATGTTATTTATTATTGATGTTGTTTGATGATGATGATGATGATGCTGATGATGATGATGATGATGATGATGATGATGATGATGAAGTAATATTATATGACTATGAATCCATGGTACGTGTACACGTAGAGTTGGTTTTGGAAATTTGAGTATCAATTGGCTCCGGCACGACGGCTAACGGGGGTTCTCATTGACCCTAAGCCGCCCGCTCTACTATTCGCTTAGTTTCACCGGACTAGGGTTAAATACAAAGTTAGTTTCTGAGGTGAGACTTAGTGCTAAGGTTAGAAGTAGGGTACGTGTTAGCGCTAGTGTTAGACGTAATGTTATATGTAGGTTTATTGTAAGGGTTATGGTTAGTGCTGAGGTTATAGATGGGGTTATCGTTAGAACCAGGGTTAGTATATGTAGGGGTAAAAGTGTGGATAGGGTCAGAGTTAGTGTTAGGAAAGGAATAAAGTGGTAATGGAGAGAAAAACAGCCACATCTTTACACTCACTAGGTGAGGGTTATTGTAGAACAGTTAGGCTTTGAATTTGAGTTGTGTTTGTGTTTGGTGTGTGGGCGAGCGTGTGCGTGAGCGAATGTGATAGGATAAGGTATTATGTCGAAATCATGTTGAGATATCATTTTTCATATTTAATCTGCATCTAATTGTATCTCTGTATGTGCACGGAAACCAGAAATATACAAGGTATGCCTGCATGGGGGGCTTGTAATCGAATATGTAGGTGATGTATTCGAACAGTAGGCAATTATTGCTGAGTTGCACACACACACACACACACACACACACACACACACACACACACACACACACACACACACACACACACACACACCGAAGAGAGGAAAGAGAGAGAGAGAGGGTGAGAGAGAGAGAGATGAGAGAGAGAGAGAGAGAGAAGAGAGAGAGGTAGCAAGAGCGGAAAGAGAGAGAGAGACGAGAAGACGAGAGAGAAGAAAGACGGAGAGAGAGAAAGATGAGAAGAGAGAGAAGAGAGAGAGAGAGAGAGAGACGGGAGGAGAGCGAGAGCGAGAGAGAGAGAGAGAGAGAGATGAGGAGAAGAAGAGAGAGAGAGAGATCGTGAGGAGAGAGAGAGAGAGAGAAGAGAGATCAAGGAGGGATAAGAGAAGAGAGCAGAGAGAGAGAGAGACAGAGAGAGAAGAGCAAGAGCAGAGAGAGAAACATAGAGAGAGGGAGAGAGAGAGAGAGGAGCGAGAGGGAAAGAGAGAGAGAGAGAGAGAGAGAGAGGAAAAAAAGAGAGAGAGAGAGAGAGAGAGAGCGCGCGAGAGGAAGAGCGAGAGCGAGAGAACTGTAGAGACATAATTGCATTCGTTCAGTGCTTCACAGGTCTTTACGGTGTTAACCTATTTAATCTGTGTTTCTCTTCAAATTTTTATTTTCATTCATATCTATGTATACTTACGTCTTAACAAGAGCCCGTTAACATGCTTTTCAATGGCTCTCCTATACACACCTGAAATATTGCATAAAAATCAATTAAAATCAATAAAATCGAATAAAATCGCGGTAAACATTGATAAAACCGATAAAATCGACCTTATGTTCTGTGCAGTATGCCAACCAGCTACATCTACGCTGCTAAGCGGCTATACTTACACGCCGATGGTCTATAATGTTTAGGAATGATGTTACATAGTATAACTCATACGCTATATTATGCATCTTACCGTGGTGAAGAGTCCGTGACGAAATAAATTGCATAGTAGTTTGAGGCAGGGCTGTTAGACCATCTGACACAACGAAGAGGTGGACAGAGCTTCTACTAATGCAGTGATGGCCGATGATGGTGCTGTTATGTCTGCCTAGACATGCCGATGTGAACATAAACTATACATATGTTTCTAGTTCAGCTAGTACACTACTCACCCGAACACGCAACACACACCACACACGCCACACCACACACTACACACACACACGCACTGCACACACACACACACACACAACACACACATACACACACATCACACGGCAACACACACACACACACACGCCACGCACACACACACACACCACAACACCACACACACACACACACACACACACACAACAACGCACAAAACACACACAAACACAGCACACACACATTACACACCCAACACACACACACACACGACAGCACACACACATACACACCACACACACACACACACACACACAAGAACACACGACACACAAACGACACGCACGCACACACACACACACACACCACCACACCACACACCAACACGCACGACACACGCACACACATCACACACCACACACCCAACACACACACACCACACACACCACTCAACACACACACAAAACACACACCACACACACACAACACCAAACACACACACACGCACGCACAACGCGGCGCGCGCTCACACACACACAACACACACACATGCACACACACAACACACACAGCAAACACACGCACGCCAAGCACGCACACAACACACACGCACACACACAACACACACGCACACACAAACACACAACAACACACACACACACGCACACACACACATATATAACACAACACCACACACACACAACACACACCACACACGACAACAACACAGCACCCAAGGCACACACCACACACGCACACACAAACACACACACAAACACCGCACAAGCACACACCACCGCAGCCACTACAGCGAACACACACACACAGCACCACAACCACAACACACAGCAACACACACACGCACACACACACCACACACACACACCACACACACACACACACCATACACACACACACACAACACACAACACACACACACACAAACACGACACACAACACACGCGCACGACACACAGCACACAACACACACAAACACCACACACACACGGCACACACCACACACACACACACACACAACAAACAAACACACCCACACACACATACCACACACACACACACACCACAACCCACACTACCAGCACACCACACACACACACACACAGCACCAACAAGCACGCACGCACGCTATGCACAAACACAATACACAACACGTGTAATTACGTGCTGATATTTTAATTATGCCATCGTTATAGGGTTGCTTCTTGATTGCTTGTGCCTATACGGACAAGTCTCATACAAAATACGCAATATGAATCAAATATGCAAATGACAATGTATTTCTCATATGTAATAACCGGCGATTGCCAGAAATGTACTAATGCACGTACCTATCAGTGGATGTGGAATTTCCTGGTCTGCTTCACCAGGCTACCCGCCCAGACTTTAGACCATTGTAGAACCACTTCAATTGTAAGCACACACGCGAATATGAAAGTTGAATGCACGTTAATTAGGTATGCAACCTTATGTACTCGAATACAATATAACAGAGCCTATTAATATAATGAGCTGCCTATATTAATTACCCCGCCAGGGGCCGTGGCGTAGGTTATTGTTTTCCCGGCCGGTGCCATTGATGTGTTCGTTGTGTGTGTGTGTGTGTTTACCATGCATGTTCAGTTCACTTCGGTGAGGCTGCCTGGCCTGATTAACTTACAAACACCAGGCTAAGGGCAACCACAGTCTCCCCACCTTGCACGGCTCGCCACTAATCCGGCATCCAATTAATTATATTACTTAATTTATTGATTAATATTTTTCCACTTATATTAATTAATTATAATTAACAATTTCACATTAGAGAATTTACTGCTTGGCGGGCGTCTGTGCTCTCCGAGCTGCGGTTCTAGTTAGGCTTTATATTACTGCCTATAACAATTAGCGAGCATTATGGCCTATTACTTTGCAACACCGCCGGACCAATTATCACTTTAATATTAGCGTGTGAATGTCGAGCGCTATTCGGTGTATTAGATTTCAGAAACTTTTTATCTAATTACTCTACACGTGAATATATACAATAAAAAAAATAAAAGTAAAATAATATAGATATATTGCCAATAAATATCCTATTGGTATAGATATGTTGATGTATATGTTCGTGTACATTTTATCAGGATAAATAATAAGATCATTATCCACTCTGCTCCACCTATTATCCACTGCTATCCACTCTATTATCCACACTCTATCCACTCTTTATCCACTCTAAATCTACTTATTGATCCACTCTATTATCCAACTCTATTATCCACTTCACCTATCCACTCTATTATCCACTCTATCCACTCTTTATCCACTACTATCACTTATATTCCACTCTATCCACTCTATTATCCACTCTATTATCCACTCATTATCTACTCTATTATCCACTCTATTATCCATCAAATTATCCACTCTATCTACTCTATTATCCATTTATCCACTCTATCCACTCTATTATCCACTCTATCTACACTCTATTATCCACTCGTATTATCCCTCTACTATCCACTCTATTATCCACTCTATCCACTCTATTATCCACTCTATTATCCACTTATTATCCACTCTATTATCACTTATCTACTCTATTATCCACTCTATTATCCACTCTATTATCCACTCTATTATCCACTCTATTATCCACTCTATTCCACTCTATTTCACTCTATCTACTCTATTATCCTCACTCTATTATCCACTCTATTATCCACTCTATTATCCACTCTAATTATCCACTCTATCCACTCTATTATCCACTCTATTAATCCACTCTATTATCCACTCTATCTACTCTATTATCCCTCTATTATCCACTCTATCTACTCTATTTATCCACTCTATTATCCACTCTATCCACTCTATTATCCACTCTATTATCCACTCTATTATCCACTCTATTATCCACTCTATTATCCACCTCTATTAATCCACTCGATTACCACTCTATTATCCACTCTTCTACCTCTATTATCCACTTCTATTATCCACTCAATTATCCAAATCTATTCTACTCTATATCCACTTCTATTATCCACTTTATCCAATCTACTCTATTATCCACTCTATCACTCTATTATCACCTCTATTATCCACTCTATTATTCCACTCTATTATCCACTCTTATCCACTCTATTATGCCACTCTATTAATGCCACCTCTATTATCCACTCTATCTACTCTATTATCCACTCTATCTACTCTATTATCACTCTATTATCCACTCTATTATCGACTCTATTATCCACTCTATATCACTCAATTATCCACTCTATTATCCACTCTATTATCCACTCTATTATCCACTCTATTATCCACTCAATTATCCACTCTATCTATCCACTCAATTATCCACTCTATTATCCACTCTATTATCCACTCTATTATCCACTCTATCCACTCTATTATCCACTCTATTATCACTCTATTATCCACTCTATTATCCACTCTACACTCTATTATCCACTCTATTATCCACTCTATCCACACTCTATTATCCACTCTATTATCCACTCTATCCACTCTATTATCCACTCCTGATTTTATTGTATAGATATTTTTCGTCGTTTACATTTACACACAGCGACACCTGGCGGTCCCCGGTATAGACTGAGTAAGTCTTCCACATCTACTGATGATCAGTCGACAGTACGTCGTGACGTCATCGACTTGCTAGAGCAATTAAAAATTCTTAAGTTGGTGATCCGAGCGTCCGTGCGAGCGATGGAACCTGCTAATGCCACGGGAGAGTGGATTCACAGCCCATGAGGTATACACACACACACACACACACACACACACACACAACACACAACACACACACCCCCCCCCCCCCCACACACAACACACACACATCCCCCCCACACACATCTCCCCACAACATATACACACACACACACACACACACACACACACACACACACACATACACACACAAACACACACACCACACACACACACACACACACACACACACACACACACACACACACTCCTTTCTTATTCTCTATTCCCTCTCCCGACAAACGTTAAGCGCACCAGTTCGGTTTATACATTGTCACGTATAAGATATGCTAGGATTATCATTTCATCATCGCTGTTACTTATATAATAATCATTTTAAATTGATTGCAGCACAAGTAGTGTTCATGCAAGAGGTTTTACATGTGGAAATATCATAAAATAAAGACTATAGCTACTACATACACGCGTATTTACGTTTCCTCGTGTCTACGAAAGGTCGGCCCTAGTAAATTAAGACTCCTTTAGTCTTCTGGATCGTCATCGAGTGCTAGTAACAAGCTGGAGCAGTATGATCATAATCAGGTCAATAGTTTTGCCCTACGCACGACAAAAATCTATTACAAGCTACGTTGATAACGAAGACAAACATCGCGTAAGTGAGGTGCCAAGGTCCCGCGGGGGGCGATGTTGATAGCCTAGAGCCTCTGGGGTTAGTTCGACATGACACGCGTTTCTCATTTCACCCGTGCAGAATGACGTTTTTCCGTCGAGTATATTTCTCACGATGAGATGCGAGTCAAGATGTTCTGACCTGTTAAAGGATTTACTAACGAATCCCATTGTCGTATCATTACTTGGTTTCGTGGGCATCTGAGAATTCCACGTGGTGCCGTTTTATTATTGAGTTTCGCGCCTATACAATCCGTCGTTAGAAATGTTTTCTTTTGCTACAGTGTCATCTACGTTTTACATTGTTTTAGAAGTAATCATTAGCTCATAAACGATTGCCAACGATCATTCGAACGAAAAACATTCAACTCGTGCACAAAGTAAATGGGATTTGGAAATTACAAGTTGCGAAATTTGAAATATGAACATAGTTAACATACGAATAAAAACAAGAGAGCGATGTTATAGTTTTAACTCAGATTGCGCCTAGACCTAAAATGAATGCTTAGAGGCAGTTGCACGCGTTTCTCTTTGCAGTTGCACGTGTTTCTACAATAAAATCGCAGTAGATGGCAGCACGCACATAATAATCCGTAAGACTTTCTCTGAGGAATAATCGTTAACAGCATTTACTCAGGGGCATGGTAACTAAGGGGCGCTAAAACCTGTGACACGGCAACCTCACATACTTGTATTGATTTTTTAATGAGAGAAATTAATCCGATTTATACGTTACACAGCCGGGAGATCACCATTCCCCTATTCGCCATTAGAGATGTACGGGTTTCGACCATTCCGACCGAAGACGAATGGAAGGTACTCATTTCCTACTCGTCCACAAAACGTATAAAACGTAGTCGTTTCCGTCTTGCCAATTAGTGCATTTTGCACATGACGTCAATACGTGTGTGTTATTATATATTATATTATATATATACGTATGCTATAGTATTATATATATATATATATATATATATATATATATA